ATATCAAGTATAGATAATCGTGTACCAAGAGAAAAAATCAAATACTTTGTAATCAATGAAAATATCTTGAATACTTTAGGCAATGCCGAGTGCTGATACACAGAGAGGACTGGCACTGTCTCTGACGAGACGCAGAAGGCCTGGTTCTCTTCCCTCATGTTTCGAGATCGAAGCTGCCTGTAGCGGCTCAGGATGTCACTGTGACTGACATCGCCTGTCAGCGTGAGGTCGAGTCGTCGCATTTCTTCAAGATTTCCCTGACGGAGGCGTCGAAGTCTCGGCGAATGTCGGAAGAGAACGAGTCTTGCAAGAAGCTTCCTCTCCTCGCGATGGCCAAGGAATCGTCTTGCGAACTGCCAAGAGTTTCCTTTGCTTCCAGCGAGTCGGAAATTCTTGTGGAAGCGAAATCTGAGATCACCGACGACTGCTTCTGTGATGATATTTGGGTGTTGCTTGAGATACTGGAAGCTGCAGTTTGGGTCTTGTTCTCGTCGATCTTCTCCTGATGGCATCGTGTGGATTTGCGTTCCTCCTGTTGGGCTGTGTGGGACGTTCTCTGGCCAGACGACGCTTCCTCAGAAACTCCCGAGGTCGTCGAGGAAGTTGAGCTGTGAACTTCTGCATTGTGCGTTTCCTTGACGCTAATGGGATGACAGTCGCTTCTGTTGTGTTTCAGTCTCCTGTTGGTTAAGATTGGCGTATTTACCATGCGAATGCCTTCTACATTTTAATGAAGTCAGTTTTATAACATCAGAAAAGCGTTGATATAGTAAAGAGGAAGCTAGGACAATACCTTCTTGGTCACAGTGATTGTGAGGATGCCATCTGACGACATGACAGGCGTGATGGATGTCATGTCAGTGGACTCAGGCAAGGAAAAGCTGCGTCTGAAGGTGCGCGAGGACCCGGCCGAAAGGGCCTCCACCAGCAGCTCCTTCTCGCCCATCAGCTTCACCTTCACATCTCCATCCACAAAGTCATGCATGTCCAACACGATCTGTGACATG